ATGCAAGGAATGTCTCCATCCTTTCATAATGGAGTAGGTCGAGCTCATCAAGCGCGTCAAAGACGACCTTTCCTACAACCACGTGAAATTCGAGGAAATTCTAAGTCAGCAAGAAGAAGACTACGAATTCCAAATCCAAAAGCTCAAGGCCGAGTACGAAGAGCAGTTGGCAGGCGAGCGCCAAAACACGGCCATCAAGGAGACACAAATCACGGGCAAAAACAGCAAGCTGGATTCGCTCAAGAAGAAAATTCAAGAGCTCAAAGCGAACGCGTCGGCGCGGGGTACCCTTGTCTTGCACGTGTACATAAATGTCAATGTCATATTAGACATCTTGCTCGCGACCGAGCGCGCCAAGACCGCCAAGCTCGAAGCCGCGCTCACCAACTACGAAAAGTACTTTGACGCGCTCCAAAAGAACATTGACGAGAAGGAGAAGAACGTGCAGAGCTTGAAAGCAACCAACCACGTGCTCGAGAGCTTCCGCTTCGTGCTGGACAACCGGGTCGAAGAGCTCCAGAACGAGAAGGCGCCCATGCAAAAGCTCATCATGGGGCTCGAAGCCCATATCCACGACGTCCAAGACGAGATGGTCGATGAGTTTCACCACAAGGACGTCATGGACGAGACGCTCGCAGCGCGCGACATCAAGATCAAGGCGCTCACGAACGAAGTGAACGCGCTCCGGCTCCAGACGCGCAAGAAAGAGTCGACAATTGGCGCCATGACCCGCGAGTTTGCGCGCATCGTGCTCATTTCGAACCCGAAAGAGCTCGAACGGGCCGTCAAGGACGCGTACATTGTGTACGTCAAGGGCGAAGCACCGAAATCCAAAAAATTCCATACGACGTCCTCGATCCTGAGCTCGCCCAGCAAGGTGGCACTGGCGGACGCGCCGCTGCTGGCGGACGACAACAAGGAGGTCGTCCAAGAGACGTGCAAGCAGCTGACGTACATGCACCGATCGGTGGCGACGCTCAAGAATGCGCTGCAGCACGCCAAGAACGAAGCCGAGCACCACCATCGCGATGCGATCACGGAAGGAAACATCCTCCTCCAAGACATGAACCAGCTTCGGAAAAAAACAAGACGCTCGAACTCAAAGTGAAGGAGCTCGAGAGCGCCTTGTATCTGGCCGAGACCGCCAAGAAAAAGCGCGCGGCGCAGTCGCCAGCGGCCAAGCTCTCGCCCCTCTTGCGCAAGGCCTCGTCGGCGGCGGCCATCGCGTCGCCGGGGCGGCTCGTCGTCGGCAGCGTCTTGCCCTTCACTGCGATTGAGCGCGAGCGTGACCTGCATAAAGTGGCGTCAATGCCGGCCGTCCACGAGTACCAAGCAAAGATCGACAAGCAAACGCGCGAGATTCAGCGCCTCAAGACCCAAGTCCAGCTCCTTTTGGAAAAGGAAGCGACCAAACGTACTATTGTGCTTGATATGTTGATACAAGCAATACTGACACTGCGATGTAGAGGACGCGGATCCGGCCCAAGGGGTGGGCAGCCTCATGCTGCCGACGTACCCAGAGCCCCCGTCGCTCGCGACGAGTCCGACGGCGGCGCAGACGATCCACAGTATCTCGCGGAAAACCGACTCGACGTTTAGCTTTTTAGCCATGCAGCCATTGCCCAACAACGACGATGACGACAATTATGGTTATGGCGACCACGCTAATACCGCCAGTCCGTCTTAAAGGAGTAGTACAGTAGTCCTTGTGTGTGTGTCCGGGTCGAGACAGACTTTGGTTGGTGATGAGCCTCATGTTGTTGTTTCAGTGGGTCGTCTATTGAAATGTACTAGTCCAAACGAAGAGATAATGTCAGACTTTCTCTTCGCTGTGTACGGTATAGGGAGGCGATTAGTAGGCAATCACATACTACTACGTACGCTTAGGATCAAAATGTGCCATCCGAATCGCAACACACACACCTGCTTGGTGGCATCGAGCGCTTCTTCACAGACAATTTCCATGCTAGAAAAGCCCATTGGAACGTCGGCACCTTGTCCTATTACATGCGTACCCGAGGTATTCGCACATGAGGTTCCACATGCCGTGGTTGCGCAGGCTCGTCCACGGCTTCCGCCCGTCGCCGGTGTCACCTTGCGGTGCGCGCCATTCGAGTACGTCGGGAGGTAGAGCGCGAAGAGCGCTACGGCCACGTAGCCATAGCCCATCTACATGAGGATAAGATCTGAGAGACAACTCAAAAGAGCCTATTGTTATCGTACGTAGTAGAGGTACTAGTAGACGAGGACGGCGGTGGCCGCCCACATCCACTGCAAGTAGTGAATCGAGACGAACACAATCACATGTTGGAGTGCGACGCTAGGATCTTAGTTGCCGTCGTTGTTACCTGTTGTAGAGGAGGAAGGAGAGCGCACCGAACACTCTCGGGCAATTGCGTGAGCACTCGCTGCGGCGTGTACCGATGAGCTATGCAAATAGGAGGGAATCGAAAATGAACCGCTCATCACTCAGCAGTGGATCGCGCGTGACGTCACATAGCGTCTAGCTAAATCCGTGAAAGGAGGACGGCGCTGTCAAGGACTCGTGCCTCAGAGCTAGTCAGTACTGTACTGTGCTATTGTCGATTTTTCACGGACCGGTCCGATCAAAATGCTGGGAAAGAACGCGGGTCATGGAAAGGTAGAGTGTTTTAGCCATTAACCTATCGTTGACGGCCGCGCGTTCATGGCTTCGTACATCAGCTCGTCGTCTTCGTCCATCTCGTCGCGCTTGCGCTGGGCACTCACCAGTGCCCAAAAGATAACAAAAGCCAGCACAGAGAGGGCCAACGCAGAGTACGCGAGTGCCTCCAGGAGGCACTCGAACACACCAGCGAATTGCGCCTCGTAGCAAAGGCGCAGACGACTGGGTAGGTAAATTTGGTTCAAAAAGTAGCGACGGCACGCCTTGGCTTCCGGATACGTCAGCAGGTACGGGTACAGCTTGGGGCTGGGGCTCATGATGCACACGGCGGCCGTCGCGTCAACCTTGGTCAGCGGACAATGCTCGTGGACCCAGTCGCCAAAAGCCGACGTGTCGTCCGGCGCGGCCACTGCGTGACGGCAGCCATCGCACGCGACATCCATCGATGGCTCGGCGGCGAGCACACTGGCGTTCACCTTGTCGCAAAATTGCAAGAGGGTCGTCGCGTCGTCGATGGGGACGCCAAAGAAGGTCGGCGCGTCGAGCAGCGCCTTGATCCGCAACCTGTCGGTCTCGTTGGCAAAGATGCGAGGCTGGACGAGTGTCTGCCGCAGAGGAAACGAGGTGCAGTACGCCTTGCCCTCGCGCGCACAGTAGGTCTCTTCCAGAGCATACTGGGCATTGAGGGCAGCGTCACCCCCAAAGCAGCGCAAGTCCCTTTGGGTGAGATACCCATCGCCGTCGTATGCATCGGCGGAAGACCGTCTAGAAAATGTTGCCTCGAACTGGGCCAATTTGTCGGCAGTGGATGAGGCGGCATTCGATCCCCGCCAGAAGCCAGATCTCGTCGTCAAGTAGGCAGGGAGCCCCATGAGCGCGCAGAGGCCGACAGCACCAAAAAGCACAAGGAGCAGCGGGGTCGTGGACGCCAATTTGGCGGCGCGGCGCACGTGCACGAGGCTGGCGACAACGAGAGAGAGACCGACGCAGCCACCGGCGATTGCAGCATCAGCAAGCGGGACGAGCGGCCGCAGAAAGCTCGAGGGAAGAACGATCGGCACCGCGACAAAGTACAGAAGCGCAAGGACACTCCACGCAAGGTACGCGCGGATCGGCCACGTGACGAGGTACATGATGTCGAGGCGAGGCGTATTGCAAACTGCAAGGACAGCAAAACAGGTAGGATAGAGTGGTACACGTCGAGTGAGTCCAACGGAGCTGGCCACGTGTGACACGGCCCCAGAGACATCACTTTTTTGCCCTGTACTGTACCGCTCAAGCCAGTCACCAACCAATCACCGCCTTCCAACCATGGCACGCCCCACCCCCACAACCAGGCCCCGACCGGGACCCCACCCCAACATCGATCAATTAGCGTCCAGTACTAGTAGTCCCGCCCTCCGTACCCCCCGGACCCAAGCCAACGACGGTTGCACGCCGCACGGGACCATCGACCTCACCGTTCCCGAAGGTACATCGCTCCGCAGCTTCCGCTCGGTCGGCACGCACCCTGTCTCGGACGATACGCTCGACAGCCTCGAACACTTCGCGCGATTTTGTCTTCAATCCCGCGGACATCAACCAGTACATGTCATCGATCATCATCAGCTGACGTAGTACGCGCATCGAGCAAGTAATACAGCCAAGGCCCGTTCTGACGCGCCCTTCGTAACTCGATCGCGCTCATCAAGGACTCACCGACTTGGATCTGTATATCGCGGTGGCGGACAAGGAGACGAGCGACAGGATCGCGGGTCACTCGTTCATCCTTGACGGAGAAGCCGGCAACGACATACCCGAACTCACGGTCCCGTCACACTCGCCCTACGACGACAAGTACAAGTACCACATCACACTATTCGACTCGGTCCCCGACCGCACGGCCTTCCTCAAGTGGTTTGCGCTCCGCACGAATGCGCTGCTGACGGCCTACATGCCCTCTCGTCTGGACGACCTCCATAACAGTAAGTGCCGGATCGTCTTCCGCACCAAAGAAGTCCCTGCCATCCTCCGCCTCACCGAAACCACGTCATTGCGCGAGGTCGCGGGCGAGGACGAGAAACTGGGTGAGGAGGTAATAACTCTCGTCGTTCGTCATAAACTGGCTTGTATACAGTACCACCATCCATGGCCGGCCAAGGCGGACGCTTCCCGCTGGCGCGCGAGCCTAGGTGAACCACAATGGCTGTCCTCCACTGGTCTAAAGCCCGGTCCGAATGTTTAGAAACATCTGTTTTACAAAGACGTGTGGTAGCGCAAGACGGACGCAATGTGGGATTGCGCCGCCACTTTCACCGTCGTTGTCGGCGTGTAGGTGCCATGCACACCTGCTCTAAAGCGCACGCACTGTCCTTTTGCGCAGTCGGCCGCCTCGGAGACGAGCAGTGTGTACGCACCGGGCGACACGTGTTTTTCGAGACCGTGGCCCACTGCATTGGTGTAGATGCCCCAGTCTTTGGCACGGAGCTCGGCACGCACGACCTTGGCGCTCCCGGCCGCGATGGCCAACTTTTCAAAGAACACGAGGCGCTTGGTCTCGGGCGCGATGCCACGACGGGCTTCCTGGCGCGGAAACAGCAGCACGACGTGGTCGCGGTCGCCGTCGCCCGTGTTTTGAACGGCCAGAGTGATCGTGAGCGCGTGCTTCTCGCCGACGAGCACGGACACGTCGCTGTACGTAAAGCGCGTGTAGCTCAGCCCACTCCCAAAGGTCCACTCGGGCGCGCACTCGCCAAAGAGGCCGTTGGTAGTGCACCCCGCGTTGCGCCGGTGGAAGTATGTCACCGCTGCATCCAATGGCGCCTTGGGGTACGTGTACGGCAGCCGGCCACTGGGGTTCGTCGCTCCGAGAAGCACGCTCGCGATCCCAGCGCCGCCCATCTCACCAGGCAGCATGGCGTGCAGGACGGCAGAGGCGAGGTCGGGTAGCCCCTGCAGCAGCCGAGGCCGGCCTTCCACGAGCACGAGAAGGAGCTTGGTCTTGGTCGCGGTAAGGGCGCGAACATACGCGACTTAGCCGTCGGGAAGGGCCAAATCTCGGATATCGCCGGGCTTCTCCGCGTACGGACCTTCACCAAGCACGACGAGTGTGTACGCTGCTTGGCCCGCGAGACGCGTCGCCTCGGCCATGTCCTCGGGCGTAAACGTTCCCGCAGAGTCGACGCCAACTAAGGACGTCAACGCACAACGGGGGCACGCCGTCTTCAGAGCTGAGAGCACCGATTGCCCGTGCGGAAATATATCGTTGCGCCGTTGCCTTGCCACGCGAGCGACCAGCCGCCACAGAGGTGCCCGATGCTGTCGATGGCCGGGCCCGTGAGAAAAATCGACGCGTTCGCTGGAAGTGACAGCGTCGCGTTGGCGTTTTTGAGAAGCACGATGGACTCAGTGGCCATCGCGAGTGCCGCGGCTTGACTGCTCTTGTCGCCAACCAGTGGGACCGTCGCCGCGCCTGGCAATGGCTCGTCGTAGAGATGGAGCTGCAGCTTTAACGTGACAATGCGCTGCGCGGCGTCGCGTAACCGAGCAAGTGGCAGGAGCCTCATACAGCGTCGTCGTGTGCTTGATAAAGTCAATGTCGGTGGCGACCATGTCGATCGAGGTTTCGGTCAGCGCGAGCTCAACCGCGTCTTGGAGCGACGGTAGGTCGGCGCGAAAGACTCGATCGTTCCGGACGCGCCAGACGTTGAAAGACGCGGGCGCGGAGCACGGGCCAGAGGTAGCGGAACGCGGCTTGGTGCGTGTTGGACGCCGTGTTGGGCGTCGAGTAGAGGTAGCCCGAGAGTAGACGATCAAAAGCTGAGCCGCTGTGATTGCGATACTTTGGCTTGCTTAGCGCAGTCTTAACGCACGAACGTTAGCACGACGTCGACAGCGTTGCTTCGTACTAGTAGAGTGCAGTAGTAAATATCCTATCGGATATAGTACGTCGTTCGTCCAGCATGAACGGCATCCGGAGGCGGAGGCATCGTTGCAGGGGGATAGGATCGAGATTCTTCGGTCACCAACCTGTCGCTCGACCCATCTTCCAATCTACTTGGTTGGGTGTTTGCAGCTGAGCGCGGCCGTGTCCTAGTTCACCCCCATGGCCTCGATCGTCGACTGCCTCCTCGTTGCTGCTACCTTGATACTATCTTGATACAAATGACGCGGTCCATCGAAAGGCTCAGTACCTCATTGTGGACTTGAGACTCCTCGCACGACTGTATCTGTCCTCAACCAAGACTGTTGGGAACCAATCGGTCGTGGGTTCGATCCTGTGTTTCCGCAAAGGATACAAGGCGGGGTGGTAATAGTTTCTTGTCTAGGTTTTATAGGTCGACGCAAAGTGCGCAAGAAGGGCGTCGCCCTTGAACTGCACGTCCTTGAGCTCCTGAAAGGCGGCGACAAACGCCTTAATGTCCTCAATGACCTTGGCTTTCCCGACCGACGTGCGCGGCGCGACGGCCTTGAAGCACTCGGGCATCTTGTGCGTAAACATATCAAAGACGCGCGAAAAGACCACTTGGAGCTGGAGCGACGGCAGCACGGGGCTGAGCACTTGGTACAGCTTGACCGTGTTGGCGGCAATGCTCCGCAGCGGCGCGCTTGGCACAGCAATCACGTCGTAGTCGACGTCGGTCGCGATCACTTCCAGCGCCTTCTTCATGATTTGGTCTTCGACAATACTGATAAACTTGCCGAAAATCTTGTTGTTGTGCTCCACGTAGTCGTGCGTGACCTTGTCGAGCTCGTCGAGCAGCAGCTTTTGGCGCTGCGTCAAATGCAGCGCGAGCTGGCACTTGATGTGCGGAATGAACGCGACAATGACCTCGAGCGACTGCGACGCCAGGCCTAATGCCACCATATTCGATCGTACAAGTGCTAGGATCGTACAAAGCGCATACCGAGATGCTTGGCCGAAATGCTCTTCAGGTGGGCCACTTGCATGGCGCCGGCACCCAGCACGAGCTGGGTCGTTCGCGAGTTGAAGAGCTACCGCGTCGAGTGAGTGCACGATGATGGAGGTTTCTTGTGTATAACAAGAGGCGATCGTACCCGAAGCATCTCGATCGAGCGCTGCACAATATCGGTCGCGACGACTGGGAAATTGGCCGCCAAGCTCACATAGTTCATGAGGATCTCGAGTGTAAGCAGCACGGACCAGACGACGCGGAATGACAGCGTCGACGAGAGCGTGAGCTGCTTGAGCGGCGGCGCGGTCTCGGCCGCGACCACGTGGTCGTGCGACAGGACGAGCGAGACGCCTTTCCCTTGGGCAAACTGCAGAAGGCTGGCGTGGCGCGACGCGGAGATTTCCGCGTTCTTCCATAGCTCGTGGTTGAGCGTCGAGACGAGTTTGTTGATCTGGCTCTGGTGGTACTTTTCCAGAAACAATTTCACTTGGTTGAAGAGCGCGCCGCGCAGCGTATAGTCGGTTTTGCCCGTCGACTTTTCGAGGTTGACGACAAAGCTCATGGTCGCATCGTAGAGGGACCGCAATTGCGGCATCGTGTACGTGGCCTGGACACAGTCTTAGAAACAGAAAAAACGACTCGAGACGAGGGTACCTGGACTTCTTTTCGGACCGCGAAGAGGTTGCTCACGCTGCGCTGCGAGAATTCGCACGTTTTCCGGATCGCATCTTCGACTTCGCGCACGATTTTGGCGGCTTTTTTGGTCTCTTGCCACTCGGCAAGCTTGTCGGCGGCTTCGGGCGCGGCGTCCGGGGACCACTCGTTGTCCGTCACCGTCGTCGTCGTCGTCGTTGTACTGCGACCGCTGTCGTTGTCATGCTCGTCACGGGGCGTGCTAACGTCGACGTGGAACGTGGCGGCGAGCATCGTCTGGACCGACATGGCGCGCTGGAGCACGATCAAGAGGTGCTCAAAGATCATCTCGACGCACGAGAGGAACTCCTCGGACGTCAACGCGCGCAGCTGGACCGTCACGTTGGCGTCGGCGCCGTCTCCGGGCTTGGTCGTGGACGACGATTCGATCGTTTCACTCACGACGGTCTTGACCACGATCTTGATCTCGTCCGTGAGCTGGCTACGGTACTTGTTCATGGTCTCGGGAATGGCCTCGAGACGGAAGAGTGCATCCATGAGAGCCTTCATTTCCTCGCGCGTCTGGTCTTGCTTGAGCGCCAGACTCTGTGCCAAGACAGGGTTACTCGCCGCGCTTGCCGCGTCGTACGACGGATCAAAGACCCAGTCACTACCGGTGACCATGGCCAAGAAGCGCGCACTCATTTGGCTTCGAATGAACGACCGGTACGTCTGCAGCTTCTCGCCGAGCGACCGGACGCAATGTATGCCCGCGAGCTGGCTCGTCGTGCGCAGTGCCGTGTCGATCGCATCTAGAGCGCCGGTATAGTCGTGGCCGTGCACAAGCGCCTCGACGCTGCTCTCCGTGTGCTTCATCTCTTCAATCTGCAGCACAATCTCCTGGAGCTCGGCGAGCCGCTTCTGGCGCCGATGCAGCTGCAAAATGGCCAGCGACTTGTCGGCCATCGAGTTGCGCAGCCGCTCCATCGTTGCTCTATTGCCAAGGAAATGTCGTCATGCACGTAACATCATAATGTCATGGGACGATACCGGAGGTGCTTGACTTGGTCACAGGCTTGGGTCACACGCTTTTTCATTTCGTTTTGCGAATTGGAGGCTTCGAAAAAACGGTCCGAGCGCGACGACACTTGGCGAAGCAAGCTCACTTCGACGCGGTCCAAATACCCCGAGAGCTATCCATACAATACGGATTTCTGGATCCTTTGATGCAACAGGATTGTCGGCGATTACCTTGTCTTGCGTGTCTTGGATCGACGCGCCTTGGAGCACGTGATGGAACGTTTGCGGGTCCGTAAAGTCGTACTCGGGCTTAAAGTACATGCTCGGAACTTCCTGAAAGCACTTTTGTACGTCCTCTAATCCGTCCATCAGAATGTCAACTATCAATGTATCAGGTAAAGCACGTACCGTCGGCGGCCGCGACCGATGGCACGTTGGCCGACGACAGCTGCTCGCGCACCGGTCGCTCGTGGTTCTTGGTGTACATGGCACTCGCCTCGCCGAGGCTCTTCATGAACGGGTCGAAATCCCGACGGCTGATGACTGGCGCGTTCAGCATGGACGTGATCGTGAGCTCCGTCTCGCCGGGCAGCGTAAACGCATCTAGAAACGCGTCGCCCCAGTTGCCGCCCCGCGGGTTGCTCAGCACCGAGTGCAGGTTGTGCCCACACACGTTGATGTACTCGCGCGCCTCCTCGGAGGCCACGTGCTCGGCCCCGTCGTCGTCCATCGACGGGTCGTAGAAGCCGCTAATGTCGGCCTTGCGCTGCGCAAATAGCGTCGGAAAGTCCGTCGGCATCATCATGCTCAGGCCCGTCTCGGCGGCCGACGTGAGCGACCCCGCGGCCGCCGAGGTCAGTGTGCCGAGGCCCTTCCCGACCGGCGCCATGGC